GTGCTACATTTAGACTTTGCCAGAATATGAGAGATAAAGTTAAATCATGGTGTTAGTATCTTAATTATTAGCCAAATATTCACCATAAACCAAATCTGAGCACAGCCCAGGTCACTCAACTCAGGGAGCCTGCAGTCAGTCTAGATTAGAAAGAGGTTGAGCACCACCCTGTGGCTCCATGTGGTAGTGCCAGCAGTCAGACTACTTGGTGTGGACTTTGAATTGTGTATTAAAGGTATTTTGGTCACCTTAAGATATAAATGATAAAATACCAACTTTAATCGGTTAAATTTATGGTGCATATAAAAGGTATTATGAAGTTATGGTATAAGACAAACTGTTATGGCATGATTGGTCCCTTCTCTAAATCCAAAGTGTGAAACGGGTTACCAAAACACTAAGAATGTTTGTAAAAACAGACATAAAGAATTTAATTAAGCTGTTGAAGAAGCTCAAATAATGAAAACTTAGAGTGATAACTGCTTAAAAAGGCACATGGCAGAATTACCTGGGGAGCTCTGCCAAGCTGTTCGGTACTCTCTCTGCTCCCCCAATTCTGAAATATTCTTCTTAAAGGGGTGTGACTCCCTGCTTGGCAACACCTGCCGCAGCAAGCTACCTGTAGAGATGGGGAGGGGAGGTACCCCTCAGGTGTGAGGGAGCGGAAAAAATATTGAGCACTGTGGCAGTACTTACTCAGCATTATTCCAGTAATTGAGAAGGTTCAGGAAAACTTGCCAAAAGAGTTAACAAAATGAGTTTTGAAGGATAAATAAGAGTAGGTAGCATGGGAGGGAGAGATACTCCAGCACACGTGACTCCCCTGCTGAAATCTAACAACAGCTCTTAATGGCTTTCAGGGTAAAGCTCACATTTTACAGATTTATGAATTTTTAATAGGAAGATTGGCATGTCCATGACTGTGTTAGAAATATTTCTTTAGAGCAGTATAGAAAAGGGGACTTGATGAACAGATATAAAAGATGAGGGAGAGGTTAGGAACTATAGCTGACTCTTAGGTATCCAAAGCTAAAGCCACATTGTCCAGGGGTCTAGAAGGAGATAAATGAGTAGAGTAGAACACAAAAGTCTGCCAATGTCAACAAAATAAAAAAAAAAGAGTTAATTTTCTAGCTTCCATCTTTAAGCTCTCCTAAAGCAATAGTTCTAAAAAGCACTCAATGGCAATACTTACAGCCTTAATGTTACCAGTCTTAGGAATTGTTATATCATTTCCCCCCATTCAATCTAACTAAAAGGTCCTTCTGTAGATAAAGAGAAAGTTTGTCAAGCCAGTTTGTTCATAAAAATACAGCTAGCTGGGGCTTTGTAAAGTTCAATGAAGATGCAGGGAAATTTTAATTGAGGAATGACAAAAAATGAGAGAAACAAGTACCAACCAACTAGGCTGGTGGCGGTTAGAGGGGGCTGCAAAGGATACCAAGATTGGGTATGGGGGGAAGAAATGAGGAGAGCAGGCTGGGGCTCAAGGAGTAACAGATGTTGGGGCCAGTCCAGCACCTAATCACAGAAATTCTCAATGCCATGTCCTACCTTTAACTAGTAAGCAAGGTCTTGTTTTTCCTTATACAGTGTGATAAAGGGTCAATAAAACTCTCTCCCTGCTGCATGAGAATCTGACTTGGTGTCAGTTGCTTAGTTATCAGTTGAGTGTTCATCTGACACCCAAGTGGGAGACAACCTAGACGCTGGTCTATAGATACCTCCCTGGCTGCCGTGTTACTGGTGTTAGAAAGAGGACAGACTCCACCATGTTTCAGGGTGAATGATGGTGCCTCTCTAGCAATGGTCTCTAGCTCTGTCTCTCCAGCTCCCACGTGAACTCTTGTTCTGTTCCCCTAGTAATCTGACAAGGGTAAAATGACAACTGTGTTACGAGGCAATCTTGCTCACAATACAAATTACCCTGGCCTTGCAAATTTCATTTGAATGGAAGGGATTCTAAACAAACTAATAACTACCTGATGAGGTATCTGTGCCTCCCTGAGTGTGACTGTGGAGACCCTGGAGGCGGTGCCAGGGAGTTGCTACAGGATATGCTAACTCCTATGGGCACGAAGCTCTGAAGCCAGGATGACTCCTATTCCTGCCGGCTGTGGCCTGGTGTCCTCGCACCTGGCTGTGCTGCACAGATAGCTGCAAGGACCGCTGGGAAGGAAGGTGGGGGCTTGCCCTCCTATCTCTGTGGCCTTCTAAGAAGATGGTGCCATGTGTGGTGCATGTAACGTGTCATTCTGAATCTTTAATTAAGTCCAAGATGACCTTTGGTTGGCATTGCATATGGCTCTGTTTTATGATCAGAAATTAAATATTTGCTAGTTCTAAAGGTCAGAAAAATTGCTGATGTATAGACATTTATATCAATTGCCTACAGGATTTTTCTGAAAAGCAGAATTAGTTACTTCAGGGTACTCTAAAAATCTACCATTGATTACATAAAATAAAAGTGAGTATACATTAAATTGATCTACAAAGGCATGCAAATACTGAAAGATTCTTAAAGTGAGTAACAAATATAGTCTTACCATAACTAGGTAAAATGTACATGGTGAGTGGTACCATCAGCAAAATTATGCATCCAAGCAAAATAAAAGGCACCTCATAGCCAAAGGATTGATACAAGAAGCCACCTAAAGGAGGCCCTAAAACTAGTCCCAGTCCAGAAAAAACCTCAAGACTTCCCTAAAATTGAGGAAAAAAAATAAGTTAATATATTTTGATTGAAAAGTTAACAAATAAAGGTTTAGTGGGCACTATCTGAAAAAATTCTATCCACTTCACAATTTACACACACACACACACAAACTCAAGATGGACCCAAAATTTATATATTTTGAAATCATAAAAGCACTAAAAAATAAAATATGGGAGTTTTTTGTTCTTTAGTCTTTATGGTACGGAAGGTTTTCTAATTATGGCACAAAAGCTCAGAAAACACAAAAGAAAAGATTAATAAATCTGATTATATGAAAACAGGAAAAACTATGTCTGGAAAAACACAACAAAAGACAAAGAATAGAGAAAAAATACTGACAAAGGGCTAATTTCCCAAATATATCAAGAGAGTTACTTCAATTCAAAGAGGGAAAAGAAAGAAAAAAACCTAATAGGAAAATGGGAAAAGGCTATAAAGAGACTGTTGACACATAAATCATATACAAAGCTCTTAGGCATATAAAAAGAAGCTCACCTTCACTTTTTAAAGACATGAACATTTAAAGATGCCAATGTTTCCCTCTCGCCTGTCAAGCTCTCCATACTTCCAAGAATTTGAGGAAAGAGCATCTTTGCACATTGCTGGTGAGTGTACACCGCAGGGCAACTTGGCAAATCAACCATTACAAATACACACATTCTCTGACCAAGAATGCCACTTCTGGGAATAAACTTAAAGATTTAGCCATAAAGATGAGATATGGTGTATGTGCAAGCTTATATTTGTAGCACTATTTACAACAGGAAAAGATATAAACAATGAAATTTTCATCAATTTAAATAAACTAGGTTATACATACAGTGAAGTACTACACAGTCATTAAAGAGAAGCAAAGAATGAGGAACTTTTCATATATAGATATAGAAAGATCTACAAGCTAATTTCTATTTTTTATTTATTGATTTCAGAGAGGAAAGGAGAGGGAGAGAGAGATAGAAACATCAATGATGAGAGAGAATCATTGATCGGCTGCCTCCTGCATACCCCCACATTGGGGATCAAACCCACAACCCGGGCTTGTGCCCTGACCGGGAATCGAACCTGTGACCTCCTGGGTGGATGCTCAACCTTGCAGCCAGGCTCCAAGCTAATTTCAATGTTTGTGTAATAAGTAAGACAGAGTATGTTACCATAGTGCAAAGAAAATGGAGGGAATCGTGCTTTCTCAGTGTGTGTGTGTGTGTGTGTGTGTGTACATGAATACATGAAATTGCTTGGGAAGAAACCTGTAGTATCTGTTGCCTTCTGGGGGAGTGATGTTGGGCTGGGTGCCCGGACAACAGGAGTGTCTATGGGAACTGAGCAATAGTAATATATAGAATATATTCACCAGAGTTGAAATAAATGACCAAAAAAAGAATATATTCACTATATGCTATATTTCCCTTTGTAACTTTTGAATTTTGTGCCATGTAAAATTATTTTGTTTTGTTAAAGTTAAACAAAATAGTGCTATGGGAAAAATAGTTCGCTATCACAGAACTCTTACAGAAATTGCACCATTTTAAATCAATCTAATTTAGAGGCTTTAAACAGAGACCCGTGGCTTGCAACCTAAAATCCTCAGACCTCACAGAAGACTCAAAAGTAGTCCACTAATAACTTTCAACTTCTCATAACAAATACAGAAATCCTACATTTTCTCACAATAATGTTATCCAGATCATCTACCATGTTAGGCCGTTACCTTTTGGCTGAAATTTTACATAGAAACTTGGCATACCCTGCTGATCAAAAAATCCAAAGGACTGTGGCATCATAGGAATTTCTTGGGCAACACTTTCCAGAGTGTTCCACAAAGCACCAGTTCTTTTAAGAGTTAAAAGTGGTTCCATAGTCAAATCGAGGTGTGGAACATTAAATAAACTATCTCTACTATAGAATTTCTCAGAGTCTTAACACACTAATGTGAACTGGACAGCATATCCACACTCCAAACATGTTTAGCCACAAAACCTTGTTTTGCAGAGCATGTCAACAGACTAGTCTTCTGAATCCTTTTTGAGAAATATATTCCTGGGAGATGTAAACAGTGTACCTGCCACAATGGCCAGCACTGTGTGGCAATGACTATAGAATGAGCCTATCCTAGAATGAGCCTATCCAGACATATTATTTTATATGGGTAAATGAAGGAGTCCTTGGTACTAAATTATAGGCTCTGTGGTGACATTTGGTCTCTGTACACACCGGGTCCTTCAGAGATGCATGGGTCCAAGGAGAGACCTATGGGAAAGCCCGTCTGGGGTCAGGGAGGCAGCAGCCAACAGGAATCTGGTGTCACTAATACCAGATGTCCAGGTACCTAGGCAATGTATAAGACATACCTCAATACGATGCTACCAGGGTCTGGGTTATTATGGCAAGATAAGAGGGTGCTCCTCAGACAGCACAGAAGCACTTACAAACGTATTGCTAACATCTCTCCCGTGAATCTTGGAAAAGTGGAGGAAGGACTCTACAGATTGAGTCTTTTCTAACCCAGAGGAACGCTTCAGCAGCCGAGCTCAGCTACAGAGAGAGAGCAAAATACTACTAGGAAGGCGTTTAAAAAATAATAATATAAAAGTGGCAAAAAGAATATTTGGCTTGGACCACATTTACCTGTCAAACTGCCCATTCAGAGGATTCTAAGGCCAGGAAGAGACCTAAGTAAGATTGATGATACATTTATTGACAGCCTGCTGCTAGAAGTACAAACTAAGGTAAAAGGTAACAAACACAGATTGTAAAAAAAAGAAAAAAAAAGCATGTCTAGTAGAATGGACTCCAGCTTTATCTTGGAAGGTGAAACAAATATTTTAGCCTACACTAAAGGTAAAATAGGAAAAAAATATAAAATACATACCAAGACTGTGGCCACATGATTTGGGAAAGCCTTTGCGAGGATAGAAAAAGATGCAGTTATTGCTGCAGCAAAGCTTATGGCATCTGCTATTCTCACTAGAAAACACAGAGCAATAAATACTGGTCCATCGGGAACTTGGTCCAATAAACTAAAAAAGAATAAAACAAGTCTCAAATGCCAAACTGGTTTCTTTCTTTTTAAAAAAATATATTTTTATTGATTTCAGAGAGGAAGGGAGAGGTGAGACATAGAAACATCAATGATGTGAAACAATCATTGACCAGCTGCCTCCTGCACACACCCCTACTGGGAGTCAAGCATGCAACCTGGGAATGTGCCCTTGACTAGATAGAACCTGGGACACTTCAGTCTGCAGGCTGATGCTCTATCTACTGAGCCAAACCAGCCAGGGCCAGGTTGGTTTCTATTCATTTCCTTCTTAACTGTACTCACTGAAAAGAGCAGTAGCTCACCTAGAGTTATTAGAATAAATCTCTTTAGAATATAAACTTTTTAAAAAGTTGCTTTGTTATACTTTGAGTAAAAGAATTACCTTCTTTTGGGAGGTACCAATTGGAAGCACAATGAGAATTTAGTTGCCCTTTTCTGCTGACATAATTGGCTCCCTAAATAATACTAAATAGGCCTTTTAAAATATAAAGCATCACTCTGACAAGAACCACTCATAGAAGATTCTTAGTTTCAGGTTTGAGCCATAGTGGGGCTCAAACCTTCAAATACAGTGAATACAGAAAACAGAAGACCACCCCACATAAAACGAACAATTTAAAAAACACTTAATTTAATATGGTTTTCTTTAGCTTATTTCATTTCAATCTCACCAAACTCTTATCACTCATCTATGTTCCCCAAGAACTTGTTTAAACTCCTCCGTATTATTTGCCACTATGGTTGTATAAACTTAAGAACTTTCAAAGTTTTGCCTCTGGATTTATTTTCCCTTTTCTCCAAATAGCAATAGGTGAAACCATTCTGCTCTCATGTTCAGAAGTGAGCACAGGACTAGGCCTGACTAATCAGTGCATTCTCTTCCTTGGCTACAGTGACCTTGATGCAGTGATGGGTCATCAACAAAGATCAGGCCAGTGGAACTCCATTCTGTAACTCTACTAGAAGCTATTAGGAAAGTGGCTGCTGGGGACATCTTGCCATCACAAGGGTAGAGTCTATCCAACAACAAAGCACAAGAAGAGGAACACAAAACCAGGAATTTAAGAAAGAGGCTTGATAAAATTATTTTAGCATATGAATTCTGATTTTCTTTAGCTGATTTTCTAGGTAAGAAACTCATTCTCTTGCTGGAGCCAAAAATTTTCTGTGACTCAGAAAAGTGAGTTTAGTTTCTGTCACTCACAGTCACAGGAGTCCTAATGAATACATTCAATAGTCAGTTTAAGGGTGATCCATTCCTTAGAGCAGTGGTTCTTAACCTTCCTAATGCCGCGACCCTTTAATACAGTTCCTCATGTTGTGGTGACCCCCAATTTCATTGTTACAAATTGAACATAATTAAAGCATAGTGATTAATCACAAAAACAATATGTAATTATATATGTGTTTTCCAATGGTCTTAGGCGACCCCTGTGAAAGGGTCGTTCAACCCCCAAAGGGGTCGCGACCTACAGGTTGAGAACCGCTGCTCTAGAGGATTCTTTTCTTAAGACCAATGTCACTCATCCTGTTTTCTACATCACCCAACTCCCTTCACCATTAGTCACATGCAGAGCACTCAACAATCAGTGGTACTGACTGATGTAAAGGATCCATTAACATTTCAAACTGAAGATAGATTATGAAACATGTTCAAGCTCCCAAACATATCAAAACATGACTTACCCAAAGAGAATTGTGACTCCTCCTGAGACAAACATTCCTGATACAAACATAAATTTTGCTCCAATCTGTACAAGCTATAATAAATGTCAGAGAAAGTGGTAAATTGATGACTACTACAAGTCTATATTGACATAAACAAATATACTTTATCAGAAAATATACCATTTGGGAAAGATAAAAGCAGTTACTATAATAATTCTTTAATAGAATAAAAACATACATTTCTTAAACCATGAAAGAAGTTAAAAATCAATCAACTCTAAGAATGGAACTGTCAACAGTGGCACAATTCATAAAGTATAATGGTAGTTATTTCTGCATCAATGGAAATTCTAGACTGATAAATTAGAATAACTCATTGTACAATTTTTAAAATTGAAATGTTCATATGAACTTGAATACTTACATATTTTCCAAAGAACAAAGAGGCCAGCAGTTCAAACAAAGCATAGCATCCAAAGATCATCCCAATAACTGTATTGCTGGCTCCTTTCTTTTCAGCCTTTAAAAAAAATTGAAAAGGAAACAAGTTTGAAAGACAAATTCGCATCAGTGTAAAAAAATGGAGCTATTAGATATGAGCATCATCTTGTAACCTTTTTCTGTACAGCAATTTTAAAAATTATTATTATAAAATAAACAGGATGGAGAAGTAAGAGAAACTATACTAAAACCTAGTATGACATGAAAATAATTCACTCATCATGCTCAAACATTAAAATAGAACTATCATATAATTCAGCAATCTGTCTTCTGAGTTTATAGCAAAAGAATTGAAAGTGGTGTCTGAGAGAGATATTTACAGCATTTTTCACAACAGCTAAGATATAGAAACAACCCAAAAGTCTATCAAAAAATGAATGGATAAAAAAATGTGGTAAATACATTCAGTGGAATATTTATTCAGCCTTAAAAAATAAGAAAATCCTGGCATTTGCAACAACATGGATAAACGTTGAGGAAATTATGCTAAGTGAAAAAAGCCAGACACAGGCCAACAAATACTGCATGATTTCACTTATCTGAGGAATCTAAAATAGTCAGAAGCAGAAAATAAAATGGTTGTCAGGGGCTTCAGGAAGGGGAAGTGAGAAATTATTATTCATTGGGTATAAAGTTTCTGTTAAGCAAGATCAGCTCATATTGTATTGTTATCACATAAAAAAAACAAGAAAGGAAAATAAACATAAAAATCTCACAAAAGAACACAAGGGAATATTTGTAGGTGATAAATATATTTAGTATCTTGATTGTGGTGATGACATCACAGATATATGCATATGTCCAAACTCATCAAGATAGATATATTAAATGTGTGCAATTTTTTTGTATATTGGTTAGACCTCAATAATAAAGCCTCTCCCCCCTGAAAAAAGATTTGTTTACTTTAGCTGACAAAAAAAATCAGAATTAGAAAGGATAAAAAAGTATAAACTAAATTAAACATCTTGGCTGAAGAAATGTGGGCTCTACTTCATCCATGGAACTGAGTGAACAGCTAATCTTGACATAGTTCCTTTATGTTATCTGTGAATGA